AAAGAAAGAAAGAAAGAAAGAAAGAAAGAAAGAAAGAAAGAAAAGAAAGAAAGAAAGAAAGAAAAGAAATGAAAGGGGATATAGTTCAGAAATTTGGGACTCCAAAGTCTGGGGAAGATATTTCTAAACCCCGAACAGTAAAAGATATAAGACTGAAAAAGGCTCTGAGGAACCAAGGCTCCAGACTCAACCCAAAGCAAAGATGGAAGGATGTGGGCTTCCCCCGTGAGCCTATCATTTTAACTGACTCAGCGTAGCTGCTATTACACGGATGGGGTGAACAAGCAAGGATGTAAATCATCCTTGAGAGGTGTGTCTAGTAAAAAATTTTAGAAGTGGATACTGGCACATGAACTGGCAGCACACTTTGCTTAGAAACCCACCAAGTTTTTAAGGGAATCGTATTGCCAGGGAAAACAATAGAGTCAGAACTAAAAAGTCTTCCACTGTTTGAGTTTTAAACTAACTTTCAGACCAAACTTGCACTGGCAGAAACCAGGCCATGAAAGCTATGCATCCTCCCAGTAGAGGGAATTGCCCATCACCTACTCCAAATGAACAGTGGAGGATGCACAAATTAGAACCTCCAGGGGGTGGAGCCAGGGTCAGGAGAATGTAGCACAGGGAACAGAACCGGAGTCTAATCAGGAAACTGCTCTCACCCTTCATGATGCCTGCCATGGACCAGTGAGTGCTGAGTTATTTCCTCCCTCTTTTCTGAACAGGACTTTTTATTGCCATTATCTGTCCATGCACTTTCATTTACATTGGGTTGGGATGGGAAGGTTGGGCAGACACCTTGACTTTTTGGTTCATAGGTCCCCAGACCATGAGGGGCCACAAACAAATCTAATGGACAGGACTGTATATCACTTGGAGTTGGGACTCTGGAAATTGCTGTTCTAACAACGAGAACAAAACATTGACCGAGACCGGTGACCTGCAGAATAGACCACACCAGTATCCCTTACAGTTTGGTATGGGATTAAATTCTAGCCAATGAAATATGAGCGGAAGTGGTGTGTGCTAGACCGTAAGCTCCCCACGAGCAAGTCCCCATGCTCTCTCCACTTCCGCCAGCTTGATGCCTAGTACAGGAACCCTGGACACTACATATTGAAGATGGTGGGGCGCAGTAGAAGCCTGGGTATGTGAATCACTATAGAGTAAGCAATTGACTAGGGGAAGCACTGGGAGCTTTATATGAAACAGAAATAAACATCTATAGCTTATTCACTCACATAGGGCTTCTCAGTACAGCAACCCGCAAAAAGAGGGATGTACCTGGGCTGTAAACTCAGGCAGCCAGGCTCCACAATCTGGGCTATGCTACTCTCCATGAAAAAACACGAGGTATTATTATGAGCCACTTTCTTTTTTTCAATAAAAAATTGTAATGTCTAACCTGTAGTAGAGTCTCAAAATCTGGTAGGTGTCAGGGTTCATTATATAGTCCTTACTTTCCATCAGGGTTATTTCCCCCAGATCCCTCCTCCTTTTTTTTTAAATCTTTGCCAGAAATTTAACAGGAGCTCACGGAGAATTTCACAAGTCAATGGCATACAAGATAATGTCTCTTAATAAGGCAATAAAGAAATAACATACTCCAAATCAATGATAATCACACGATTGCTCCAGGCAATAAAGGAATAAAGCCCAAATTTAGTCGCGGTGCAATTTAATATGAGTTGGTATCCAGGAGACAGCTTAGCCAACTGAACTGCGCCTTTTGATATCGCTTCAATGCGGCTGGGGATAAGAAGCTGAAAGACTCGGTTGTTCTTCTTCCTGGCATCCTTCTTTATATATATATTTTTTATTTATTTATTTGAGAGAGAGAGAATGAGAGATAGAGAGCACGAGAGGGAAGAGGGTCAGAGGGAGAAGCAGACTCCCTGCTGAGCAGGGAGCCCGATGCGGGACTTGATCCCGGGACTCGAGGATCATGACCTGAGCCGAAGGCAGTAGCTTAACCAGCTGAGCCACCAAGGCGCTCCTGGCATCCTTCTTGAGCCCCAGTGAGAGATGGAGCCACTACGAGCAACACCAGCAAGACTTCCATTGTTGGAGAACCTTGTTCAGAGGAACAGGTTGGACGGATGCCCTTTGTGACATAAACATTTTGTGCAATCAGTATTCACTTATCACAATTTTAGTCAATACACAGATAAATCCATAAAATGCTGGGAGTTGGCACCTAAGATGCTCTCTCCAAATCTATCATTCTACATCAAAGGGATAGGACATGAAACAGGCATGCTGACCGCATCCCACGGGTGCTGAGTGAAAGCACCAGGCCTGGGCTCCAGGCCTGCCATGAAATTCACTGTTCTTCCTGTGCTGCGCGAAGGCCAGCAGCAGGGAGAGGGGCAGGCGTAAGGCCTTCAGTCACAGCAGTTCTGCCATCAAACATCCGTGTGGATTTTGGCAGGTGAACTTGGTAAGTGAACTGAGCCTTGCAAATACAGGTATTTACAATGAGGACAGTATTAAATCACATCATTTAGTAAAAATATTTGAATATGGGCCAAAATGATGTGCTCAGTACCAAAGACACAAATGAACAAGAATCTCCTGTCCTGGGCCTTCCTGGAGCTCCTGTTTTAGTGGGGGCCGAGACAAACACAGAATGGCCTCTGTGTTAAGAGAAGCACTGAATGCGACAATGGGACGGTAAATGACTAGCAGAAAGCAGGGACTCGGAAGCGCTCATTCTCTTTCCCTTTCACAGTCTAAATTGAGAGGTCTTATTTTTCTTAATATGTTCCAGAAGAGTCTTGAGAATAGCACCCGTTACCATTACAAGCACATGTGGGGTAGCAAGCAGCAGGACCTCACCAAACAGGGGCACCTTACTCCCCCTTCCAGGACTGTTATACAAAGAGTCCAGGGGAAGATTCTTGAGGTGAGCTCATACTTCCCAGTATGAGTGGATAAAATATCACCTGCCCAGAACTTTATGGAAAAAAAAAAGTAAACAGCTTTTTATCACAAGACGTGCTGTATATAGTTAAGGCAATATTCTTTTTTTTTTTTAAGATTTTATTCATTTATTTGAAACAGAGAGAGTGGGGAAGTGCAAAGGGAGAGGGAAAGGGAGAATCTCAAGCAGGCTCCCCACTGAGCTCGGAGTCTGACATGGTACTCAACCGCATGACCCTGAGATCATGACCTGAGCTGAAACCAAGAGTCGGACGCCCAAACGACAGAACATCCCAGGCGCACCAAGGCAATGTTCTGTCTGGTTAGTGTTTGAAGATGTTCTAACTTTATAATTTAGTATATAAAATACTATGCTATTACATTATCAGATGTTACTACAGATACGAATAGGCTTCATATGCCTTCTGAGTTTTAAGAGTAAAATTTCAACTACCTATCATTTATTATCCCTGTCCCACAGAAAAGCAGTAAAAATGATAAAGCATTACAAGATTATTGTTTTGACACACATGCATAAGGCAGACCTCTTTTGATAGTTGACTTTCTTTTATTAACAATCAAAAAACTTCACACAATAGGAAAATAAATGTTTCTCTAATGAATAATTAAATGAAAACTATCCAGGACCTTATAGGATTTTTAATGCATCCCAGGTTTGATGTGTACCTTAGAAGACAGGACATCAGCTTGCACAATCATTAGGTATGGCTGAAAATGAGAAACTGATTTATAAAAGATTTACCTAACGGCTTTCCCAAACAGTAGCTCCCCTGCTTAAATTGAAACAGGAAATAAAATTTGTATTTAGACCTAGTTTTAGATGACTCACAATACACATCAATCTTAATTTTATCGTCTTGATGTTACTTTTTTAAAGGTAGTCACCAGAAAACTCAAATCGCATTTTAAGATCATGAATTTGAGGTGTGCAATAAAACTTGTAATTTCTCAACATCAAAGTTTAATTATTACACAACAGTTCAAGCAGCAGATTCTACTTCAGACAGCATTTGTCTCATGCCCTGTTTTCTTGCGGCATTAATCACGTGATGGTGTTCGAAGCACATTTAAGACTAGAGCAGGCACTGCTGAGTGGTCACAAAAATCCCTCTTGGATGAACAATGAATGCTTGGCTCATTTCAGAAGAAATGGCTTTTACCTTTTCTATGTCTTTTCTATTATGAGAAACAGAGCTAAACAAAATCTTGAAGTCTCATTTTCTGCTGGATGATTAAAAGCTTTATCTGTAAATTATCTCAGTCTCTTAAAATCTATCTGATGGGAGGAAAAAACAAAACCTTAGGGAAAAACAGTGTGCTTTCTCTTGTTCCCACAACATAAAATCAGAGCAAAAATAGAGCGCCATAGAAATTTCAACATCGAATTTTTTTGAAATCTTAAAGCTTAATAAAAGTCAAAAAGTTTTGTATTAATCAGTCATCTCTGCATACCTGCTAGTTCAATACAAACCAGGATCTGGCAGACTACTTGTATTCAAAATGCCATCTTTCAAAAAGGTTCTACTTTTCTAAATGGTCCATTTAAAGAGTTCACTGCCTTGCGTATACATATATGTGTGTATGTATATGTATATATGTGTGTATATATGCATATATGTAAGTGGTAAGCACATGACTCTCATTTGCACTCCATGAAAGTCACTTCACTGTGGTAGATGAAGGATGGCAATCCTAGTCTCCAAAGTGTCTTCAATCCACAAGCATACACAGTTATCACTACTCTCATCAACGCTGCTGACAATTCAGAAAGCCTAAGTACTTTCTAATTGAATTCTAAAAGAAAAGTGCCTTAAATTTAATTTTTTTAAACTTCAGTCTTCAATATTGAAACTGCTAAGTTACTCCATTTTTCCATGCAAAAAAAAAAAAAATAGAATAAACTTGGGGAAAAAATAATATACTAACTTGGGAAAACATCCAGTTACTAAACAGGCTTAAGAAAAAAACCTATATAGAAAAAGTATTCCCAAAAAAGGTAAAATCTATGTGTGTTGCTCACCACAGGATTATTTGAATAAATAACAATTAGTAACCAATGAAATATTCAGTACAGAACTGTAAAATAAATTAGGAAGTGTCCAATTGATAAATTATACAGCCACCAAAAATAAGGAAAATGACATGACAATGTCAAGCCAAATTACAAAAGGCTCCCTGCTACATTTAAACAGTCCCACCTGCAAGCACGAAACAGGAACACAATCTGACAGGCTGTGTCACTGGATTATGGGTATCGTTTTCCTTTATTTAAAGGACTATACAACATAAAGCTCTATAGTGACTATGCATTTTTTTAAAAGAAAAGAAGATCAAATATGATGGAATAACTCAAAAACAAGTCTTTGAAAAGCAATGTTCCTGGGCAGGGACACGCCGCTGCCCACATCCAGAAACCAACCACCTGCCACTCTGGGAAGAGAGCACCCGACCCAGGCTGCCGCTCTGCAGAGGTGTGCTCGTGAACAGGGTGGAAACGTGGGGCAAGCGCCTGGCCAGAACAGTCTGTGGCCTCATTCCCAACATTCATTTTATCAACAAGACCCAGATTTGTCCGCTTTGAGCAGGTACCTAACACATACTTCTATGTCTGATGACAAACTTTCACATAAGTCTTTTTATTTCTCCCAACAGAAAAATTCAAATGCACGACTATTTCCTTTTCATAATAGAGCAATTCTCAATTGGCAATCAAGTGATATTTTTTAAAAGACAAAATGGTGTTAACCCTGTGGAACATGTGACCAAAAATAATTAAAGGCCCATGGGTGATATCAAGTACTACTAGACAGAAGATTACTTACAAAAAGAGCAATTTTCAATAGAAAAACTGAACATTTCCCTTGGGAAACAAATTTAATCTTTTATCATTAAACAACTAGGCAAAGGACCAGGTTTTCTACCAGTGCAATAAGGGGCAAAAGGCTTCCCCAGAGGCCCTAAGAGGACAGGGATGAGATCTTTTCGATGGTTTTATGATGGCAATTATAACCTGCTGGCTGTTTCAGCTCTCGGAAAATGATGTTCAATCAAAAGACTAAATCATACAAAGCACTTACTATTTTCACTTGCCCAATAACAAAATTTGAAAACAAGAAATTCATAGCATTAAATCATGTTCATCAAATGCTTGAACAAGCTAGAAATGCTACAATAGAGCAGCTTACTGGTAGACTACGGTACTCTGCACTACTACAAAAATAGTCGTGAAAAGCTTATTTTGCTCAATGTAATGATCACGTTTTACTTTTTGCAAGCCATGTATCTCTCCGTTACATTCTCCCAGTTGATTACATTCCAAATAGCTTTTAGGTAATCCGGTCTGACATTTTTATACTGAAGGTAATAAGCATGCTCCCACACATCGATCCCCAGTAGTGGAATAAGACCTATTGGAGAGAAGGGGGGGGGAAAAAGCAGAAACTATGAATTTCAATCTAAAACGTGACTGCATCTTCTCCATTGAAACTTTATCCTTTGCATACAAAATTACCCTTCACAACATTCCCATCCATTTTTCAGTTTCTTTTACAAGTAGGAAATTCGGCTAAGAATAAACATCCCATAAAAATGTTTTTAAGCTTTGCTCTTTGGAAGAAAATGCGATAAAGAGTAAAAAATTTAAAATAGAGTTTGGAAAATTAAGTACGGTATTTTAAGAGCTGTTCTTGAAATACCAACAAAGCTATCCATGAGCCAATTCTCAGGCAATCAGTAAGGTACCATGTTTGTGGGGGTGGTTGAGGACCTTCCAAAGCAGTCCGGGGAGTTTTAGGAGAACCCGCTCTGCTCCTAAGGCTAATAATGTTAGTCTCAGAGAATACAGAACATTTATGAGACACTAACAGAAAGAATAAGTTAACAAGGAAAACTGAACAGGACCAAAGAAAAAGAGACACTGTCCTCAGAAATTAAATAGTGTAAAGAAGGAATTACTTACACAACACTCATTTTCAAAAACTCTCAAACTAAATGACAAGCTCTCCTTTAGGAAAACAAGTACCAACCAGTAGGTCTTGAGCAGCGGGGAGGTAGGTCACTAATCATGTATTATGAATAATTAAGGTAACAAAGTTTATAAATGATTTTTCCCCTCTCTAAACTGCCGTGACTTTTACGGATTTTCATTCCAATGGGCTTTCCTCAAGTGGAAGAGAAACAGGTGTGGCCATGGTTCACCTGGAAATCACAGCCTTGTCTGTAAGGCACCTTCAAAGGTAGACCCGACTCTCTGAACATTCTCCAGCATTTCACTTTCCCAAAAGAGCCATTTAGAGCCTGGCTAAATCTGAATATATCCAGGGAAATGAGGCATGTAAGCAAGTCTGCGGGCATGTGTTGAGGCAGAAAACATGGCTGAGAACTACAGATAATTGACGTTAAGACGTCACCACAGGTCTGTTACATTGAGGATCAAAGTTCCCACTAACTGCTGGATGCCTTGTGACTATTTCCTAAAGACATTCTGATTCAATCTGGCTCAACATGGAAAAGGATTTGGTGTCCCCAGCCTGGAGCTTCTAAGCCAAATATTTTCCTATACCAAAACCAAAACCCCCCAAAAAGGCAGAAGTCTGGAAATCTGAGCTCTAGTGCCATTCTGACCACAGGTGCTCAAGCAGACGGGCTGAGGGTCCAAGGCCTGAGGTCAGACTTGGCTTCCAGGTCTTTTCCTCCTGTGTGGTGTTTATCTAATTTCAGTGCATGTAATTATGTAAGCTGATACGCATTCTCTGTCAAATGAAGCAGGGTTTATGTTCAAAACATGTTTTGTTAATGTATCTGTAAAATTACATGTGCTAATTTTGCAAAAACATCAAGGGCTTTTAAAGCATTTTTACTTATACAAGACTCAGGGTATTATCAGCTGTTAAGATCTACTCACATTAGGACATGCTCACGATAGGTTTAATCAGTTTAATCGCTGCTCTTGTTCCTTATTTCAAGGTAAATGCTTTACAGTGAACCATCTCCCACTAATGAATGTGAAACAATTTTCAAACCTAACCTGTTGTTCCTTGCAGGGGATCCTGGTTAAAACAAGCAGCAATCTGCAAGCGTCCCTGTTCCTTACTGAAACCAAGCCAACCCCAACCTGAGCCTTGGACGCCAACAGATACGGTGGTCAACTTCTCCTTAAATTTGTCGAAGGAACCAAAATCACGTTTGATGGCTTCCAGCAATTCCCCTATTTTAAAAAAAATCCAACAACATGCATAAGTGAACAGACTGTAACAATAAACAATTTTATTACATATATTAAAATATGCCTGTCATAATGCACAAGATACAGCTAGACAACATCGGAAGACATAATATAACCCAGTGAGCCTAGACAGCACCACATTACTCCTGCCTTGACACTAGCATCATAAGGTCTCACAATTGTAATTCACGGGTTTGTTACTGAACCACGTTAGAGGGATTTCTTCCCTCACTGCGCTATTTCCATCAGAAAAGAAATGATATTTTCCGTTACCTTCCCTTCAACAGAAAATTTTACTTTGACTTCTACCCTACCTATTCTGTCTCAATTTGGGAATAAAATTTTATGGTTGTTATTTGGTTCTTCCCCAAGGCAGCCTAGATCTTTCCTATCACAATTATGTAATTTTAAAAAGTGATTTTTGTCTTTTATTACTGAACAAAGGGTACACTGTAAGAGCTATAGTCCTTTTATTCTGTAGCAATGTAACATATAATTCTAGATTGAGCACATCAACCAAATCAAGTAGGCCAAAATATCACTTCTCTGATTATTATAATAGATAGTAATTATCTATTATAAGCACAAATAATAAAGTGGTACAGATAACCCAAAGTGTCAGAGAACCAAGACCTGTTGGCTGAAAATGGGCACATCTGACATTCTACTAAATCCCAAAACCTCAGAAGTATTAAGTCACTGTCTGCAGACCTAACTCATAAAAAGAAATGCCCAGCTTCTCAAATTTACTCTCCCATTCATCTTTACTCCCAAATGAAATTGCTTATTAAAGTGCCTAAGATGCCTTCTACAAAACAATTAAAAACAAATAAACCCACAGAAACTTAAGGTACATGCCAGAAGCCCAGAGAAAGGGAGAGCTCTACTTATGCCCCATACCTTCCCTGGGATGAGGGTAATTAAAGTCCTCTGGGCCTCCACGAGAGACACAGGAAGTCAAGTAAACCAGCCAGAGTGAACAAGACCATTAGCTCTGTAGTCCCCTCATTTACCCTCCAGGTGTCCTGGAAAACCTAATTTTCTGGGACAACTAACTTTTTATCAGTCAGAAGAGCAGGAAAATAATAGCAAAAGGCACTATTCTGGGCATTTTATGTTTGATAACTTATTTAATTTTCAAAACAGCTCTATTACTGTCCCTGTATCATACAGATGAAGAAAGTAGATACAGAATGATTAAGTATCTTACCCATCCCCAGGCTGCTCAACTTTTCTAAAAACCATTTACCAGTCTTGTTCTAATGTACAGTACATTTCAACCAGAAGTTGACACCGTATGACACTGTATGTGTATAAAACCTGATGACGTAACTCCCTGAATGTACTCTCCATTCCTACACATGTCCCTTTCAAAGTTACAACTTTGTTGTACTCCTTGCTATGAAAAATATGCCACTATGATATCTCAGAATTAACATAAGAAAAGCAACCGTCATTCCTATTGGGCACAAAATGTAGCTAAGACTATACCAGTATCTACCAACCTTTGGGTTCTCCACCACCCTTAGGGCTCAGGTTTGTCCAGAAGATGGAATGATTGATATGGCCTCCGCCATTGAATTTGAGCCCAGGCTGAAGAGCTACCTGAGTTGTAATGTCACCTGTAAAGAGGCAAACATACTTTTTAAAATTCTTACTTTTCAAACACTCTATACACCATTTTCTTTGTAAAACGTCAGATAATTAGACTAGCTTATCTATAACATCCCTATCGGTCCTAAAATTCCACAATTTCGAACAACAACAACAACAAAAAAAGATTATCTTAAAAAATTATTTGTCCCAGTGGATTTTCAATTCAATTAATAACATTCTGAACAACTCAATGAGTGTCCCAGCAGGGGGTGCAAAGCATGCAGAAAATTCTTTCCTGAGCTTCAAAGAACTCAAAGTTTTCTTGGATATTAAAGATTTCAGCAGGGGCACCTGCATGGCTCAGTCAGTTAAGCATCTGCCTTCAGCTCAGGTCATGATCTCAGGGTCCTGGGATTGAGCCCCGCACTGGGCTCCCTGCTCAGCGGGCAGCCTGCTTCTCCCCTCTCCCTCTGCCTGCCACTCCCCCTGCTTGTGCCCTCCCTCTATCTCTGTCAAATAAGTAAAGAAAAGAAAAGAAAAAAGAAGATTTCAGCAACAATGAGAACAAAGACAGAAAACAGTGAAATGCGGATATGTGTGGTTCCATAAACTGTACTAAACGGTAAATTTTCAGGGGCGCCTGGTTGGCTCAGTCAGTAGAGCATACAACTCTCGGTCTCAAGGTGATGAGTTCAAGCCCCACAGTGGGGGTAGAGATTACTAAAAATAAATGTAAGTTTTTTTAAAAAATGGTAGATTTTCAGCTCTCATTTTCTAGATAGACAACTATTCCATTGGGAAATTGTTCAATGTTACATCAACAAAATATTCAGCATATTCAAGACTCAACTTCAGATTTCCAATCCCAAACTTACCCTCCAACGGCCTTCCCCAGCCCAGCTGCTTTCTCAGAACATTTTTGAGGACTTGGTCATTTCTTACTCCTTTCCCCTCACACCACGTTCAACCCACCAACATACCCACTGGCAAAGCCAGCTCTACCGTTAAAAAGATCCAGAATCCAGTCCCTTCTTCCTGCTTCTGGTGCAGACGAGCAGCATCACCTACCTGCATCTGTGCTACCATATCCCATACTGGTCTCCTGCTTCCACACGTGCCCTCTACAGTCTGTTCTCAACACTGGCCGGAGGGCTCCTCTGCACCCCACACTGATCGTGGCACTCCTCTAGTCAAAGCCCTCCAAAGGCTGCTCCTCTCACTCAGAGTGAACCCCAAGTCCCTACAACTGCCTTCAAAGATGCAGGTCATCTGACCCTGTGCATTTCCTCGCTGGCCCAGCTCCAGCCACACTGGCCTCCTTGCACTTCCAAGAGAAGCTCAGCCTGCTCCCAGTTTAGGGTTTCCTAACCCTAACTGTTCCTAACCTTAGCTGTTGCCTGGACTGGAATGGAATACTCTTGCTGAAGATAGCCTCGTGGCTCACTCCCACATTTCTCCTTCGTGTCTCCACGGACATGGCAACCTCATCAGTGAAGCCTTCTCAAACCACAATATAAAATGGGCAATTTTCACCACTTCCCCAACTTGTTTTTCCTGATAGGACTTACAGCCCTGGCATACTACTACATATTTACTTGTCCATCTGTCTCCCAACTAGAACAAAAGCTCCGATAATAACAAGGACTTCTGTGCACTGCTGTGTCCCAGGGGCCCATATATTGCCTCCTACATACCAGGCACTCAATAAATGTTTGACTGACTAGATAACTGAATACATTAAATGTAGTTTTTATGAAAAAAACAAAAACAAAAACTAATTCTCTGATATCTATACTTAAAAAAAAAAATCACATTGGAAGACTTTTTTTTTTACCTTGCTAAATAAGTAGGCAAAATATTCTTTTCCATGCCTTTAAGAAGCTAAGATTAACTATTAGGGAAAATGGCAATTCCCCTGTTCAATTAAATCCCAAGTGTTTATTATTCACAAGATACTAAGAGACAAAGTGGAAGACACAAAGAACCACTGAGAGCTCTGTGCTTAGGGAGTTTACATAATAGAAGAAGTTCTCTAATCTGTTCTTAGGGCATACCTCAGAGAGGAGGAAAGGGCCAAGTGATCTCAGAATACACAGATCAGGGCGCCTGGGTGGCTCAGTTGGTTAAGCGACTGCCTT